GGTGTTGTTTTTAAAGAGAAGTGTGAAATAAAAAGCATCAAGATTTAGAATCAAAATGAATACACGGGATGAAAGGAAAAGCTGAGCCTGTGAGTACCCCCATCTGCCCTGCAGTCAATGCATAGAGGAGTCAATGCAAGAGGACAGTTTGGGGACCACCATCACGCTTCACTCCCCCTTTCCCCACTGTGCTGAGCGAGCCAGCCAAGTGCAGCGCTTCACTAGAGACGCCAATATTCCCCCCGTGCCCCCAGTTTCCCCGAGCACAGAGCAGCCCAGGATGCTGAAGCTAAGTACTATGAGAATACCATCTCACAGGTACTCTTTACATAGACCTATATTGGTTTCTTCTAATTCATGGAAAAAATCTGCCTGGCTCACTAAACTACTGAGATTCAGGTCTATGTTATGTTTTATTCAGATCTCAAATACTTGCAAAAGGAACGATTCCAGCTTTCGCTAAGCTCCGTTGCCAGTTCAGTCTGATTTAAGGCCTATCGGGACCTCTTCTAGAAAAGCAATGGAAATCAATCTTTGCCCCGTGTTACCGCACACTCGGTTCTGCTGGTGGGGGGATGCGACTCCTGTCATAGATTTGAAGGGTGACACCCCCTTCTTCTCCTCGCAGGCTGTGCTACCCCATAGAGCAATCAGATCAGCGGGCAGGTTTCACTATATTGTAAAACACAAGACGACAGGTCTATTTACCACATGGTGACATAAACTTGCAGTAGCTGCTCCTGGATCTGCTCAGAGAAAGGAGCTGTTAGTACAATTGTTTTTCCACACGAATCAAGATCAGCTGCTGCCTGCCAGGAGGAAACACCATAAATCTTCCTCTTAACCCTGGAAATATGGTAAATTATTCAAGGCTTTATAGTTTAGATATACATATAAAAGTCTCTCAACCACCAGCGTGGTAGAAAAGCAAGTTCTCCTCTCCAGCAGGGACCATCTCAGCAAGGAGCAGACAACGCAGAAGATGCGGAGGAGCAGCAGGCATTCCCAAATGTCCCTGCTGGGCGATGGACCTGCAGCTGGCGAGACCGGGCTGGTAATGCAGCAATAAAGGACCATAAAGGAGGCTCGCTCAGCTGCTGTTGCTTCAACGTAACATACACAGGGCTTCTCAGTGCACTGACTCTGCTGAGCAGAGTCATGCCGCTGTTGCACAGAAACCCTCCCTGAAAGCCAAGTCCCAGCATTTACTTCTCCGCTTGTTCCACCAGCTGAGAGGGAGCTATGTCAAAAGTGTGACAGTGACTCCTTTGGTCATCTACAAGCTAACACGTGGTTCAGAAGTGCACTCTGAACTAGATACAACATTTTTTTAGTTTCTTATATGCCCTTTTCCTCTTGTCTCTGACATATTTTGGTAGCTAAAAACAATGGATGCTCCCAGTCTGGCTCCAAAAGTGCCATCAGCTATGAACTGGCATGCAGTGTGACTTTAATCATGCAAAGGATGCTTCTTGAAAAATACTGGTTGAGCATATGACCCAATGTCCTGTAGACCTTCAGACTCTGGAATAAGATTGAAAAGAGGGTGGTTGCATGCCCCAAGGAGAAGGCTGCCATGGGGATGTGGTATCGTGAGAAAACATGGGGTAGAAATGCAGAAAAAGGGAGAAGAGGGCTTCAGCATTCAATACAATTTGA